CATTCATCTCAAGCATTATGTATTTTCCTAGAGACATGTATCTAGCCGAAATAACTAGTAACCATTCGGCCAAGCCCTCTCATTTCCTATAAATAGAGTGGCTTGCCTTCATTTGTACTCATCTCATCTCATATATAAAAATTACTCTTGTGAGTTATTTCTCTTCAAAGTTCTTTGTGAACTTTATCGATTAAACAAGTGTAGTTCCTATACTTGTGGCGTCATTCCTTCCATTTTGATTCCAAAATTCCTTTATTGATATCTAGTGGGTGACGACACTATCACCACCCCTCAAGCAAGTTTGTGAAGACCGGGATTGTGCTTCATAGCATAGTTTCCTCTTTGGCGTGTTTGAGATACAACATCACCACCATTGCTATTTCATCATCACCATCATCCATCTCTTCCATCAATTCCGCAGACATCTCTATCCTTTATTTATTTCATTTCATTCTTATTATTTATTTTCATTACTTATATTATTGTTCATTTCTTAAACTCATTATTAATCATATTTCTTTCTTATTATTTTTGCAGCCCAAGCTTATTAATTCAAGGACATCAGTACTTGTCAATCTTAGATCGGGACACAATAAGACTATCTACTCTTCTCACCAAAGTGTGTAGATTCGCCTTACATCAAGCGGTAATCAGAGCATAGTTGGATTGATAACAAAAGTGTCATTGGCGTGCAAAGCAAAAAGAAGTTCAAAAGAGAAAAAAAGACTCCTTCAACAAAATTGGAGTGCAAATAGAAAGAAAAAAACAAAATTCAGAAAAGAAGAAAAGAAAAGAAAAGAGAAGTTCAAAAAGAGAAAGCAAGCCAAGGAAAGTGTTCTACCATAGCAAAGTACATCAAAGAGGCCATCTACACTAAGAGAAGATAACCTTATTATTTCTTGTGAAAGGTTGCAGTAAGTGTTGTTTCTTGAATTGTAAGTCACCTCTTCCTTTTCTATCCTTTCATTTTCCTTGTCTTCAACAATTTCTTTCTTTTAAATACCTTTGAATCCTTTCTTCTACCTTTCCATTTCTATTCTTTGCTACCCTAACCTATTTGCAGCCGACGCACATAAGGAAGAAATTAACTTGTTCTAATCTTGAGTAAGTTCTTCAAAGGACTTAGCAAGAGAAATTGAGTGGAAAAAGGCTAATTGAGAGAGTGAGATCAGAAGGGGAATTGTTAAAAGCCAAATTATATTCCCGAGAGTAAACACTAGTGTTGAGTGGAGTGATCTTATCATTTCTTTGGAGTGAACTTGTGAGACTTTGTGAGTGTGCTGGTAAGGTTTTAATTTTATTTAATTTTTTTTTACTAACAAATGTTTTGTGATTTTTCATCTTTCCAAACCTTGGAGGACGAACAGCAAAGAACAAATACATTTCACACTCGTTGTCATGTAAATGGTAAAGTGTGTCTTGTAGCTATTAACGGAGGGAGTTGTACAAACATTGCAAGCACATACATGGTGAACAAATTGGGGCTTATGACAATTAAAATTCCAGCCCATATAACTTGCAATGGTTGGACGACGAGGAAGAGTTGAGGGTCACTGAACAAGTACTTGTGCCATTCTCACTTGGAAGTTACAAAGACGAGATTCTATGTGACGTGGTGCCTATGAATACGAGTCATTTACTCTTAGGGAGGCCATGGCAATTTGACAAGCGGGTTGTCCATGATGGATTCACAAATCAGTATTCATTCATCCACAATGAACGAAAAGTCATATGGACTCCATTATCTCCTAGCCGAGTGAATGAAGATCAAAACACCTTGAGGAAAAACATTGAAGCAATGAAAGAGCAAATTAAAGACAAGCAACTTGAAGAAGACGTTGGAGTTCAAAATGAAAGGAGTGAAATTGGATCCAAAAAGGAGAGTAAAGAACAAGTTTTATCTAACATTACTTTTTCTCCTATTCTTCCTTTTGTTTTACAGGACAATTCAAGAGACATATTTTTTCAAGGAGATGATTCAAGAATCATGTCTTTTGGAGGACTAAAAGATGTGACTTTTGAAGAACATATAGTTGTTACTTTTGATCCACAAAACATGTCTCTTGATGTTTCAAAGATGATGCCATTTGAAGTTCCAAAAGAAACGTCATTTGAAGTGCCAAGAGTTGTGTTCGTTGACATTCCAAGTGCATTGCCAATCGTGAAAAGAATTCAGCAACCAACTCCTATTAAACATCCACCTTGGTTTGATGTTTCCATTCATCTTGTTAATAATTTCTTATATTTTAACTTTGATTTACTTTGCAGGAATTTGAGTTATGTACATGGTATTATCTTACCAAACATTAATGACAAGATCATTTGTCGTTATAAGCTTGATTGGTGCATTGAACTCAAGCATTTCAAGAAGTTTCAAAGGTTAAGACTCTCCACAAACCATCATGATGATTCAAAGAGTGGAGATGAAGAGATACATATTCTTTTTAACGAATATGATGTGTCGGATCAAGGAGATATTCCAAATGATTCAATTTGTCAAATAGAGGAACCAAAAGGCGTGATCCTTGGAAGCTTAAGAGAATTATCTTCTCAAGTACTAGAAGATATGACTTTTCATTTAAAGGACTTGATCTTTGGGAAACCAAAGAATATGTCTTTTAGAGATCGAAAAGAAATGATCATTCAAAACAACATGTCTTTTGATTCAAATGACATAATTTTTGGCTATTCAAAACATGAGAACAGGGAGTACAATTTTCACTTGTTCATAATTAACAATTCTCTTAGTTATGAAAGTTTCTTATCTTTTCAGGTCATGGACATTCAAGGAACTTATTCAAGGGATATGACTCTTGATAAGAATCCTTTCATAAAGATGATCTATGGAAGCAAACCAGCAACGATTGAATGGGCGTACAATTTGGAGAAGTCATCTTTCGATTTGAGGACAAATCGCCCAAAAGAAGGGGAGGATGATGTGATCCTGTTTAGCACCAACTTTCTGCATGACATACTCACATCATTGAAGAACCATCAAACTCAATATAAGGGAGTTCTACATACTTTATATTATATTTACTTATTTATGCACTATATATATTATTATGAGCATACATTTGCATATTAGACTATACTTGAATTATCATAGTATGTGCATTCATTCATTATATCCTATGGTTTGCATCATTGATTGATATTCATGTATATAATCTATAGTTATAATATTAATATTCATTCATTATCATATGATGCATGAATTATTATTATAACCTATAGTTCACATCTTTATAATATGCACATCATTTATTATATGCATTATATAGTTTATATACTTAGTTTATTTCTTTATGTTATGCATGTAGGCATATTCGGCCAACACTTGGGAGCTACATTTGAGCTTAACTAATGATAAGGAGCTAGGAAAACTTTCATAGGATGACTCGGGAGATCATGAAGAACAAATGATGAAAAGTTGTCAACTGACCCCCGAGCTCATAGCTCACTTGAGCTGGACTTTTTAGCTAGCTAGAGACCTCATTTCAGCTGGAGAGTTGCACCATCATCACCACCACACAGAGTACTTCAAATATGGTCTAAGTCAATTTTTGTGGATTCGTACCTTTTCGTGAAGAGTTGCCATTCCAAGAGGTGCCTTTTCACAAGAAGCTGGCCAAAGACTCATCTTCATGCAATTCACTTATGACCAGCTCATCTTCAGCTCATACACATGGGAAGTAGCTCAAATGATGAAAGGTTACCTTCCATAAATATGACCTTTCATGGCAAGTTGCTGCCCATTGAAGACCATGACACCTAGATGCATGTTGGAAGCCAAGTCACGCCTAGTTGCTGCCATCTTCATTCCATGGACTTCAAGACATTATCCTATGGTTGTAACCTCACCAAAGCCTTGCAAGAAGACCCATGTGCGTTCAAGTAGGCTGCCATGTGCATCATTCAAGCATGTGCACTCCATGTGACATCAAATAGGCGCCAAAACACCAAGGGATGCTTCCTATTCGGCCAAAGACTTATTCCTCTCCATTTTGGCGCCCAAATGACTTCCAAAAGCATTCAAAACATCCTTAGGCCGAACCAACACCTTACTATTCGGCCAAGAGCATGTATCTTCATTAAAATCATGTATTTTCATTTAAAAGTTATGTATTTTCAAAGGGGTTTCATGCATAGCCGAACCATCATGTACCTATCCGGCCTAAACCCTTTGAAAACTATAAATAGGCTTTGGCATTTCATTTGTATCTTATCTCATCTCATATATAAAAATTACTCTTGTGAGTTATTTCTCTTCAAAGTTCTTTGTGAACTTTATCGATTAAACAAGTGTAGTTCCTATACTTGTGGCGTCATTCCTTCCATTTTGATTCATAAATTCCTAGATTGTTATCTAGTGGGTTGAAGACACTATCACCACCCCTCAAGCAAGTTTGTGAAGACCGGGATTGTGCTCCTTAGCACTATTTCATCTTTGGCGAATTTGAGATACAACATCACCACCATTGCCATTTCATCATCAACATCATCCATCGCTTCCATCAATTCCGCAGCCATCTCTATCTTTTATTTATTTCATTTCATTCTTATTATTTATTTTCATTACTTATATTATTACCCTTTATTAAGTCTATTATTAAACATATTTTCTTATCTTATTTTGTAGCCCAAACTTATAAATTCAAGGACATCAGTACTTGTCAATCCTAGATCGGGACACAATAAGGCTATCTACTCTTCTCACCAAAGTGTGTAGATAAGAAAATATGTCTATCCCTTTTATATTTTGACTAGAAACAAGCATTTGTTTTGGAATAAGAGTAACATTTAGCATCTTTGACATCTTTATAGGTAGAAGATGTCGTCCATGGTGCAAGGTCAGGGGGGCACCATTGGTTCCTTTCCTGAAATTATTAATATTGATGAGGGAAGGAGTCCCAATAATGCAATCGAATACTTTGCATAACATGTTTAATCCTGCAGAAACTTGGGTATCCAATTATACAGTACCTTGTGGCGGGACAATGCATGAAAACGGTAGTACACTTGATGTTCAGAGCATTAGTGGCTGGAATTATGGTGAACCAAGCTCAAGACTGGGACTGCAGAACCAGCAGATGCAGGATGCTCTAGATCACCGACTTGGGGATGATGGAAGAAAAATGGAACAGGGTTCATCTCACGATGCTTGTAACCAGGCTTCTCCAAGGTCAGAAGAAAGGCGGATTGAACCACCAAATGTCTTTTTTACTGGGAGGCTGAATAATGAACGGAGTGGCAATCTTGTTAGAAGTGAGCCAATGTGTTTGCAGAGTTTCATCTCCAATCATATCCCGTCGAATGTGAATTTAAGTGAAGGATTTATTAGTGGAAGTGGTACTGGAGTGTCAGGTGTTGGAACTGGTGGAAGTCCTAATCTCCACAACTCAGGTGGACTAGAAAGAGAACAAATATCTAATGCATTTGTTTCTGCTGATAATATTGGCAGTTCATCAGGAAGCTCTAATTATGTGGGGGAGGAAAATACTGATGGCCCGGGCTATTCCTTGGACAGTTGGGGTTTATCCTGCAAGAGGAAGGCCCTTGAAGGTACTTCTGGACAGTCAGCTGATACTTCTGGACAGTACTTCAATTCAAGAGTTGGCAACTCATCAAGTTCTGTTAATTTTGGAGAGAGAGCTGCTGCATTACGGGAGGAACCAAACATAAGAAACATCCCAAGAAACAATGTGGGCATCCCATATTTGTACCGGCTACTGAGATGAGAAGTGTTGCACAAGATTGGCTTCTGGAAATCCCAACACGTCTGGAAGTATTCCATCTTCTAATCGATATGGGTCTAGTTCAAGCACCCATCCTTTGCCTGCTCCTGCCTGGATCCCTCCTCACAACCCTCCAATACATGATCAACAAAGACTATCAGAATTTGCTCCTTGGTCTCCAATTGATTCTGAATCTGGTGGTCATAATGGCCGTTTTCCACTACCATCTTCAAACCCTTACACTTCCTCGCAGGAGACAATGGTGACTTCTGAATCTAACAGCCAAGGAATAATCAACCACACCCAAGGTTAGCATTCATAATGGAGAGGCATGGTGATGATGTTCTTGGGATGGCCCATTTTGCGAGCATTGGCCACTGATATTGGATGGAGACACCGGCTGATATCTGAGGTTTGTGCTTTAGTGGTCAATGCTTCTGTTCATTTATATGTCTAAGAGTTACAGAATAGGGTTTGCTTTCAATTAATTTTAATACTAATAATAACACATTTTCCTTCGTAGATAGTGATGATTTGTTTCTTCTAGAATTACTGTATTGTGATTTCTAGTTTACCTTTTCTTTTGAACTTTTCTCGAGAAAAAAAGTGCTGAAACCATTTACTTTTTGTTCAATACTAATTGTGCAACTCATACCTGTCATTAATCTGTTAGTATATGAATTTTTTTCTTCTTAGCCTGTTGGTATATGAATTTTTTTAGAAAATCCTGTCAATCACATAAGCTGATCAATGGCGTACTGCTCATTTTCTTCTCCATGTGTCGGATTCGCCAAGTCTTAAATGCCATCCACCGGGGGGAGAACTTACGAATTGAGGTTTTATTTCAATTCATGCAATGGTTACCATGACATTTTCATGATAAGTTGTAAAGCTTGCTTTAGAGTTTTGTTTTTCTTTGGCTAATCATGATTTTGTTTGCTAAGGTTGAAAAGATCATTTCCTTTCCTTTTTGCCTTTACTCAAAAAATTTATCAATAACTGATGTGTTCTTTTCACAATTCATATCCTTCCCACTTGTTGATTTTTTTCTCGTACCGTGTTTTCTGTAAATGCAATTAAACTGTTTATAGAGCTTTTCAATGAATTTTGATTTCTGCATTTCCTGGGACCGAATTTAAAGCTAGTAGATTCAAGCAGCTAGTGGCTTGGAGAAATATATTTCATTGCTTTAAGCAAAAAAATTCCTTGTCTTTGACTCTTAGCATTTCAGATAAAATTATAGCAGGATGCTGCACTCTTGAGTCTGACAAAAGAAAGAATTAGGATACCTTGAGAAAACTGAATTCATATCAAAATACTTTCTAAACCAATTTCCACCAAATGAGAACTCATTTGGTGCAGTACCTGGGTAGAAACCTAGGAAATGCATTTTTTTCTGGCAATAATACTTGGTCCTTCCTACATTATTTGATGTTTAATGGCATTTGATATGTATACGAAGCTCTTTCAGGATTATATGCCGTTTGATCCATTCATATATCATGGTATGGCTGAGGTGCATGACAGACATGAGACATGCGTCTTGATGTTGATAACATGTCTTATGAGGTTAAAACGGTTGTTTTATGTTTGTCACTTCACATCGGGGATCTTTCTTCTCACATTTCAAGTTGAACACCAGGAATTGTTGGCGTTATAGGAGACGTGAGCACTGGACTGAGCGAGGAAATGATTCTGGAGTTGATGAAACAGCAGAAGCGTTCATTCACTTCAACAGAATCCGACTTGGAACCATGTAGTATCTGTCAGGTACAGAGTAGAAAGGTGCTTCATTCATCTTCTTCATTTGTCTAGTTTCGTTTACCTTGTCTGAACTTGAACTATGGCAGGAAGAATATGCAGATGGAGACGACACCGGGATACTAGATTGTGGACATGTCTTCCACACTAGCTGCATCAAACACTAGTTAATGCTAAAGAACCTGTGCCCTATTTGTAAGAAAACAGGCTTGCTTAAATGATGGCAAAAGCCGATGGTAGAGCCGGGAAATTGAGTTATGTTTTCATCAGTCATAAGATCCAAAATAAGGGGCGGTTATATCGGATTTAAACCGGGCTTCGATGCTCATGAACTGTATAAACTGCAAAGGCGATGCTGTTAATGTTATGAACTGCAGGATGAGTTGTTTGTAGAATAACTTTGCGTAAAGCAATGATTGACAATAATAACATAGTTGAAGTAGCACTTATGACTAGGGTTTTAAAAAACGGTCCGCGACCGCGATTTCGGCCGCGATATAGCGGTTTCGCCGCCGTCCGAGTTACCCGCGACAGCCGCAATAGCGTCTGCGATAGCCGCAATAGCGCCCGCGACGGCCGCAATCACGGTAAATCCGAAATAACCAAAAACGCGACCGTGACCGCGATTTGAAACCCTACTTATGACATTATCTTACTTCAAGGTAAGTTCAACAGTAGGTCTTTAATAATATTACTATTGTTATCATTATTTTTTTGAATAGAATTATTGATATTATTAGAATTTATGAAATGTGCCAAATACAGTAACCATTGATACAATAACATACTTCAAGTCAAATGAGTTATGGTTTTTTATTTTTCTGCCTATAACTTTACATTCATGAATATATAAATGTGCACAAATCAAGCGATCTTCGTGGTTTAAAGGATAGTTATCTTTAAAAGTCTCGAGTTTGAGCATGCTGTCTGCAAGGATGTTTGAGCGTCCATTTTCAAATGATTATGAGTCGTTTGAATAGATAATACCTTGTAAAATTACCCAAACTAATAAAAAATGAATATATAAATCGTTTAATGATTAAAATATAAAAAGAAGAGTAGTAATAATAAAATTATCTTAAACGCTAGGTGACCAAAATGATAATTTACCATTAATGTTATTAGTATATTAATTAATTAAGTGGAAATTGTAAATATATGACCAATCAATTTAAATAAGGTGAAACGTCTTAAAATAAGATTAAAAAAAGATGGTTGGGTTTGAGCCGTTGGATGAGATTTTTTTAAGGATAGAAAAATGGATTGATGGAAAAAAAAGAGAAATCGAGAAAGATGCGCTTCTGGTTACTAACCTAAAATGTTATTCAATTCCAATTTAAAAAGTTATATATTTGGTAAGAAAAATGGTTCCAACCTAAAACATTACCTTTCAATGATAGAATTTGACGATAGAGTTTTGGGGACCCAACTTAAAATTTTTAAATTTATTTGAAGGATTCATTTTAATTTTTTTCAAAAAAAAATAAGGTCTATCTAATTTTTTTGAAACTTTAAGCCTCTTTGAAACTTTGAGTTGAGATGTTTAATGAGATTTTTTAAAAATTATGAGAGGAGTTTAATTAAGAATATTCAAAAAAGTGAAAGATTAATATAAAATTTTAAAAATTTTGTAAAGATCAAATTAAATATTTTAAAATTTTAAAGGTTTGAATTATAATTTTTCAAATTTTTGGGACCCGTAGCCCCACTAACCTCCATTATGTTCCGCAGTTGTTACCTTTCTCTCAAATGAACAAAACTCTAGACTCATCATAACTTTTTAGGTTTGAACCAATATAATAATGAATTTATGTTAATATTTATGTTAATGTATGTAATGATATAATTTCTAAGCTAACGAATTTGGTTAAATTGAATCGATATTATAATTTATACAAAAACAATTTCATGATACCCAATCATACTTGCTTTTATCGTTGAAATAAAAATATACGAATAAAATGATAATTCAATCATACTTGTTTTTATCGTTGAAATAAAAATAAACGAATCAAATGATCTTGATAGTTAAAGATATAGTTGTTATCTTTAGAGATATTAGCAGGGCCGGTCCAATGAGTTTTAATGCCCTGGGCGAGATAATAATTTTATGCCCCTATACTTGTAACGTATAATAGACAAAATATAATTTTTTTTAAAACAAAAATGTAATAAAAATTATCGTCAAACAATATCAATGCTAATACAAACCAAAACCTACAATGTTACAAATATCACCTAAAATGATGCATTCGTGCATTTTTTGAAGCAAAAACCTCTATTATTTTACGATAATCAAGACTTTGTAAAAATTGACTTTCGATGGTTAGAATTACTAATCCGTTCAATCTATCTTGAGTCATCGTGCTTCGAAGATCGGATTATTAGAAGGTTTAATCGGTCTAACAATAAATCTATCTAAAGACACATGTAAAGAATTAGCTATTTCTTATTCTTGTTTTTTTTTCGTTTTCTATTTTGAGCACCCGATGATTGTTTTCGAGGTAACATATTTAAAAGTAATCAATAAAACAAATATAGTAGCAAGTAAACAATAAAACATGTATATTACCAAGGAAAGATACAACCTGACCGGTGATCGAAGTTTATATTATTGACTTGTTCTTTCTCACTCGTTCTTTCTCACAATCAACTGATCTGAAAAATTAATGATGAAATCAAAATAATCAAAATGAATCACTCTAAAAAATGTATTGTACGAAAATAAAAAAAGATAAATTAAACATGAAAGCTATCTACTGCTAGGCTGCTAGCAAAACAGAAAATGCAATCTCATGATCCAAGATCCAGAAAGCACTTTCAAACATTAGCCAGCACTTGCAAACATTTGCAAACATTCATCCCCACAGGCCTCACACTTGTCTGAATTATTTATGAACCCGTCTCTTTTATATTTGCTTTTTATCTTTGGGTTCGGCTGGTTGAAAAATAATTGGGTTCTACAACTATAATTTGCTGCATGTTAAAATTCTGCACTCACTAGTCAAGAATCATTTCAAAAAATAAAATCAAGTGGCATACAAACTACTGCATTTCGTTTTCCAAAAACAGGAACCGGTTTAAGCCCCACCCGATCGAACCAAATGGCTAACTTAAAACCATTAGGCAAGAACAAACTAATACCATTTCCAAAATCTTTAAAGTGAACATGAATCTTTGGACAAACATGCCCCAAAGTAAAAAACATTGAGGCACATTCCAGATTCCTTGAACATTTAAAAATAGACAAAGGAGGGAATTTCGATTCAATGCTAAGACGGTAAGACTAAACAGGAAATTCATATTGAACATTTAAAAATAAACCCTTGATTTAAACAAAACTCAGATAAAAAAAATCTCGGTCATACAATAAGTTATCTAATCAATTCAACAAAAACCCATAATATCTTTAAAATCCATAAATAATGGGGAATTATATAATAGACAAAGGAGGGAATTTCGAAGAGGACTGGATAGATCAACCAGGTAGATTCAATAAATTTGTCTCACTACATAAATTATAGAAAGCTGACCTGCGAGAACCGGAAAAGC